GGGATGTATTTAAATTATAATTGTTCACTTTTATATAGAAACTCGACGAGTTGGAGGCCCCAAATTCGTCAAGTATAGATGGATTTGAACTGCGGGTTTTGGAAACCTACTCGACGAGTTGGGAGGCCTCAACTCGATGAGTAGGCTGGCAGAAAGGAAACCCTAATTCCAGGGTTTTTCACCCTATTTAAACACCTTAACCCCAAGGTGTTGGCCTCATTTCCAGCCTCCATTGTCCAAAACCCTAAGCCATTTTTGGTGATTGTGAGCTAATCTTGTGCATTCTTGGTGAGTTTGAAGAAGAAGAAGCTTGAAGGGGGAGCAAGAACGTGTGGGAGGAGAGTAGATCTAGAATTTGGGCTTCGTTTCTTAATCATCTGAGGTATAAAGCTTCAACTTTGTCCATGGCATGCTTAGATATAGTCTTAGGGTGTACTGCTTCATGTTTTGGCCCAAGTATGTTGATGGTTGGGCTTTGGACATCTCATTTGGGCAAAACCCTTCAGGTCTAGGGTCTTGAGGGGACTTCATGGCATAAAGGTGCCAACTTTATGGCTATGGAAGTCCCATGCAACACTTAGATCATCATTTTGGTCTTTTAAGCCCTATTAGGTCATGCATGCGAGTAAAGATGGGAGCTTTACGTGACCAAATTGTCCCTTGAGTCCAGATCTATGACCTCATGGTCTATCTTGATGTTTTGATGGCTTTTGGAGTTGGATCTAAGCCCTTTTGGGTTACGGTTTGAGTTTCATGCGTTGGGAGAGGTCCTTAATGGGAAAAGTTGGAAACTTTACCTTTCTAAGACGTATTTCCAGCTTGGATCCAGAAGATAGGCCATGGATTTGAAGAATAGGGACTTAATGCATTAAGAAGGTTGACAGACTGAAGAACTCGACGAGTTCATAAGAAAACTCGACGAGTTGTTCTGGAAGTGTCCCGACTCTGTTGGAAAAAAAGGGACTTGACAAGTTGTAGGAGAAACTCGACGAGTCACCCGAGATATCGCGATTCTGTGAATCAAGGAGGAACTCGGCGAGTTGGATCACGATTCCATGATTTTATGATTCTTGAGAACTCGGCGAGTTAAAGGGCAAACTCGACGAGTCGAGTCAACTAGGAGCTTTGACTTTGACTTTGACTTTGACCAAAGTTGACCCGTAAGGGGTTATGAGTATGAAAGGGTACTTAAAGGAAATCTTTTATGTTTAGGAGCTTGAGTTGGGTTAATATTCGGAGCCGAGGATTTTCAGCTACTCTCCAGTCCGAGGTGAGTTACCTTCCTTGTATAAGCGGGTCGAAGGCACCAATGCCGGTCCACTAGTAGTTGTTTATAGTAAAGATGATTGTCTTTGTGATAATAGTCTAGTATGCCACTATCTGTTGAGATTTATGTGCTTGTATGTTGTGTTATTATGTGGTAGTGGTAGGGGTGAAATAGACCCCGTAACCGGTTTGAATACACCGGAGGGTAGGTCGGGCACCCATATATGCCTGACAATATGTTTATGTTATGCTATTATGTGGTAGTGGTAGGGGTGAAATAGACCCCGTAACCGGTTGGAATACACCGGAGGGTAGGTCGGGCACCCATATATGCCTGACAGGGTAGGTCGAGCACCCAGATATGCTTGACAGGGTAGGTCGGGCACCCATATATGCCTGACAGGGTAGGCCGGGCACCCAGATATGCCTGACAGTATGTGATTATGTGGTATGATGAGGGAACTCACTAAGCTTCATGCTTACGGTTTCAGGTACTTCTTCTTCAAAAGGAAAGGAGTCGGCATGATCGCAACGCATCAGACTATGATTTTTCCGCATCATGAGATTCTTGGGGGATTGTACTCTGATATTATTTTCCTATGACATGTTGTGGTTTTTGACACTTGGGTTTGATTATGATTTGGATGACACTGCTGATGTTTTCAGACTACTATTTTTATAAACCACTTAACCAAAAATGAAATTTTTGGCTCTAAATTTTGGGATGTTACATTATAGTTCATAGTATGTTACCTTTAATGTGAGGACATATATCCTTAACAGGTTGCATGTACCCTTAATTTTTAAGTGTTATTTTTCCGCATAATTTTGTAACATATAAAACCCATCATCATTTACATGAATTAAAGCTCTCACTCATTCATAGTGTCATTTACATGAATTAAAGCTCTAATTTTTTACTTATGAGTGTGTGATTATCACTTGATAGGGTTGTTTGGTTTTACAAGAGGATGATTTTTTTTCTGACTTTGTGGGTTCAAAGGCCTTGAAATGGTTCCTTGACACACATTATTGACATCAAGATATTATGATGCTTTGAAGTCGGTTTAGTACCTGGTTGGGAAATCGAAGAATTGTTTATGTTAAAATTTTAGCTAATTTCATTTTTATTTCCTTTTTTTTGTTCTGATTAAAGAGTTAGTGCTAACTGAGAGGGATATAAATGTGCTTTATTTGATACACACTTGTTCGTTTTATTCTCCAAAATCGACATTGTTAGTAGGAATCTTTATAATTCTAGCATCATATTTTCATTTTTACTCTCACTTACATTAGCTCTGATAACTTCATGTTGCATTCTTTTTTGCAGTCTCCCCATTTTTCTTTACCTTTGATATATGGATTACAACACAGTACAAATCAAGTTTGCAGTGAAGGTGTAATGCCCGTGTTTCTAGGCTAGGCATTAATATTGACATTATAGTCTAGGTTAACCTTTGTAACTCATTTTGAAGAAATGAAAATGAATTATGTGAATTATGTGTTTAATGCTTAGATATTAGGGTTTAATTAATTAAGAATAAAAATGAGCGTCGAAATTAAATATTAGATAAATTCGATATCTATTAAGAAACTTGTATTGGGCGTGACAAGGATTACAGATATATAAAGAATACCGAAATCCGAGTTATAACGAAGAAGTTATGACC